TCTGGGGCTCTTCCTTCCAGCTGGGCCAGAGCCTGTGCTTTTATAATAAAACCAACAGTAGGAGTTGGTGAGATGGGTCAGCGGCTAAGAACACTTCCTACTCTTGCAAAGGACCGGAATTCAGTTCCCAGCACCTGTATCAGGTGGCTCACTAGTGTGACTCCAGCCTGAGGGGATCTGATGTTGACTCTGGTGGTCTGATGCTGCTCCTGGCCTCCTCGGGCACTGCACTCAGGAGCACTTATACCATGCTTGCATACGCATGCAGTTAAATATCTTCCTGAATTCTGTGAGCCGTCCTAGCTTTTTTTTTTTTTTTAACTTGAGAGTGGGTAGTGGGCACCCTCTGTTTATAACCAGTTACCTTCAAGTCTAGGGAGTCTTGCTCTTAGTATGGGAAGTGGTAGTTTTTGGTGACTGAGGTTTAACTTGTGGATTCTACTGTAGAAACAGTGTGGGAATTGAACTGTGTTTTAGGGCACCACTGGGCATCCAGGGAGTATAGACTAGTCCCTGGTCAAACCCCGTGGCCAGCACTGCCCACTTATGCTGTGTCCTAAGCCAGGCTAGCAGAGTCATATGTAAGAATGGCCAGGTAGGAATCTGCCACCGCCTGTGAGAACTCTAAGACTGACTTCCTGGATGCCGTCTGTCTGCACACCAGGGACACTCTAGCTGAACTAGGAACAGGACACACTGTGTCTGAGACTCAGAGCCCTCTTGTGGTGCCACAAAGCTCCTTGTAGTTTATTTCTGCGTCCTATCTGTGACAAAGCCCCTCTGTAAGCCCTGCGGGCCCCCAATGGAGGATGACTAATGGCAGCCACTTTCCATTCCAGCCTCTGGTAGTTCTAGAAGTACCTAGCAAGTTCCACCCAGCGCTGAGTAAACTCAGAAAATTTGATCTCTAAAACCATTAGATTTATTTTGTGTGTGTGTGTGTAGAGGTCAGGAGGTAATTTTCAGGAGTTGGTTCTCTTCTTCTTCCACATGGGATAGGATATGGGTCCTAGAAATCAAATTTAGGTTGTCAGGCTTGGTGCCAAGTGCCTTCATCTGCTGAACCATCTCACTAGCCTGGACTACATAAGACTCTTACTCCTTATGATCCTGTTTACATTAGGTTAGATGGTTTTAAAAAAATTAAAGAGCTGGCTGGTGTTGTACAATATTATTTTAAGATGTGTTACATTCGTTTATGTTGTGGAACACTTGTTTGATGATGCAAAGATGTGTTGCATTCTTCTGTGTTGCATTTGTTTAGCTCTGTGAAGCTGTGTTACTGTGCCTGTCTAAAACACCTGATGGTCTGTCTAATAAAGAGTTGAACGGCCAATAGCAAGGCAGGAGAAAGGATAGGCAGGGTTGGCAGGCAGAGAGAATAAATGGGAGGAGAAATCAAGGAAGGAACAAGAAAAAAGAGAGTATACCAGGGGCCAGCCACCGAGCTACACAGTCAGTCACAGGGTAAGAGTGAAAGTAAGATATACAGAAGAAAAATAAAAAGTACAGAGGCAAAAGGTAGATGGGATACATTTAATAAAAGGTGGCTAGAAATAAGCCAAGCTAAGGCCAGGCATCTATAATTAGGAATAAACCTCCGGCCAGCTGGTGGTAACACATGCCTTTAAACCCAGCACTTGGGATGTGGGCGCCTGGTCTCCCTTATTCCTGGGGTGCATTGGCAGGGACAGTTTGTTATCAGTTAACTAAGCTTCCTGTGTGTTTCCGTGCTATCCCTGCCCCACCTGGTGATTTAGCTGCAGGCAATCTTCTCCATTGTTAAATATGGTAATTTCCCACCTTCCTGGGCGGAGAGATCTTTGTGCTGCAGTTAGGTAGAAAAGGGCTTCCCCAAGTCTGAATAAACGGCATTCGCTTGATCTCCTATCGAATGACCCTGGTCTCTGTCTCTTGTGTTCAATCTCCAGGCCCTTGCCCGGACTCGCATTCGGTACAGCTGCGCGCGAACTGTACCGAGGGTGTAACACCAAAACCGGGTGTTACATTGGGAGTCAGAGGCTGGCGGATCTCTGTGAGTTAGAGGCCAGCCTGGTCTACAAGAGCTAGTTCCTGGACAGGCTCCAAAGCTACAGAGGAACACTTTCTCGAAAAAGAAGAAGAAGAAGAAGAAGAAGAAGAAGAAGAAGAAGAAGAAGAAGAAGAAGAAGAAGAAGAAGAAGAAGAAGAAGAAGAAGAAGAAGAAGAAGGAATAATTCTCTATGTGTGAATTATTTGGGAGCTGGGTGCTGGGTCCCTAAAGAGTAAAGAGTAAAAATAACCAACAACAGGGTGGAGGTTAATCCTTCCTTTATTCCCAGCACTAAGGAGATGGAGGCAGGCAGATCTCTTTGAGTGTGAGGCCAGCCTGGTCTACAAAATGAGTTCCAGAATAGCCAAGGCTAAACAGAGAAGCTTTGTCTGGAAAAACAAAAAACAACAGCAAAAAAATCACACACACACACACACACATACACACTGTCAAAATGAATAAATAAATAAACTTTAAAGAGACAGAGATTATCTGGATCTATGCAGGAAGATTATAAGCTTGAGGCCAGCCTGGGCCACTCAGCAAGATGGTTTTTAAATAAATACCATTAAACTATAAAATCAGATTGAGGACAGGGTGGACCGTCAGTATCTCGAGATGAGCGAGGTCTAAGAGCAGGATGACCCTGCGCAGTATTGTGAACGGCTCTACACTACCGCTGTGGACTCGTGAACTTGAATGTGGTAAACTTTATGTAAAACTGTTTTGCTTTCGGGTTTTTGTTTTTTTTTTCTTTTTTTTCTTGCCCCCCCCCCCAGTTTTTCAAGACAAGATTTCTTTTTTTTTTTTTAATATTTATTTATTTATTATGTATACAATATTCTGTCTGTGTGTGCCTGACGGCCAGAAGAGGGCGCCAGACCTCCTTACAGATGGTTGTGAGCCACCATGTGGTTGCTGGGAATTGAACTCAGGACCTTTGGAAGAGCAGGCAATGCTCTTAACCACTGAGCCATCTCTCCAGCAAGACAAGATTTCTTAACCCAGCAGTGGTGGCACACACCTTTAATCTCAGCACTTGGGAAGCAGAGGCAGACAGATCTCTGAGTGTGAAGTCAGACTTCCAGAATAGCCAGGGCTACACACACACACACACACACACACACACACACACACACAAAAACCTGTCTCAAAAACAAACAAACAAAAACCCAAAACAAACAAACAAACAAGAAGAAGAAGGACAAAAGACAGGTGTGTCCTAACAGCCCTCCTCGGGGAGCCAACTTGCAGAAATGGGCAAATGGTGAGTCAGAGGGCTGTAAGGTCTTGTGTCAAACGGGAGGTGGTGTGTTTGGAACCAGAATTCAGTCTGTGCATGGATATAGTGACCTGAGGAGCTGGGAGCCACCCCAGGCACCCCAGTCATACATCTAGCAAGTAAGCATGGATCTTAACCCTGCCTGTCTCCAGTATGAGTCCAAAGCGGATCTCCCCATCTCTGAAGAATATCTCGGAGTGCGGCTGAAGACAGGGCCCTCTGGTGAAAGGTGTTGGCTGTGCAAGTGTAGTAACACCCCAGTTTCAGTCCCTGGAACCAGAGGAACACTCGGAATGGAGAGAGCTGATTCCTGAAACCTCCTCCACATGTGCAGTGGGGTATGTAAGAGCATATCTGCACTGACATACACACAGTGACACACATCACAAATACACACCACACACACATCACACACACCATACATCACACACGTCACACAACAGCAACAAATAAGAAGAAAAGATAAAATTGGGAAAGATCCCAGCATGGTGGCCATACTTTGGTTTCAGCCTTCTGAGGCCCCAAGAGAGAGAAGAATTCTGTCTTTGGACTTCTGACCTCTGAGATTGACAGGCAACAGATGACAGCTGTCTCTGTCTGCACCCCTCCTCCAGAACTAGCTAATAGCAGATGGTTCTCGAACTGGCATCAATCCTCTTCTCTCTGTGACTGGATTCCAGCATGTCTAGCTTCATGTTTTTTTCTCTTTCTTTCTTTCTTTCTTTCTTTCTTTCTTTCTTTCTTTCTTTCTTTCTTTCTTTCCTTCTTCTTCTTCTTCTTCTTCTTCTTCTTCTTCTTCTTCTTCTTCTTCTTCTT